CCTAGGGGCCACAAGTGACCTCGAGGCTCCAGGTTCTCCACCCCTGGCCCAGACTATCCTCCCCGCCTGGAATCAGTTCCTTCCTCATCTGTGCCTCTTGGAATGCCTAGTTTCCTTCAAAGTTCAAGTCAAAGGTCATCTGCTACGTGAGACCTTTTCTGATTCCCCCAGTCCCCTAGTACCTCTCCCTGAAATTACCACACATTTACCTTCCTTCTCCTTACGTGTGTTTATATTTCCCCTGATGGAATGCAAGCTTCCTGAGGGTCCGGACCGACCTTGTTGTCCGGCACCTAAGACAACGCCTGGCCCCTACCAGCTTCATAATAAATGTTTGTTGACTAGTGTTTTGAGGTCTGGGACTGCCTCACTTTTTTGTCCTGATTTCCCTAGCAACTAGGAAAGTACCTAGAATGTAACAGGTGCCTAGTAAAGTGCTCATGCTGTCTATTCATCTCCTCACACCTTCAGGGGTCAGTTTCTTTCTCCCTCTTGAACGGGCCTCCTGTGTATGGCTCACACGCTGTCAAATTCGAATAGCAGGAGCCCCAACCTTTGCTGCTATTGTTCAGTCTTTTTCAGTCGTGTTCGACCCTTTGTGGCCCCATTTGGGGTTTTCTTGGCAAAGATATTGGAGTGATTTGCTAGTTCCTTCTCCAGCCCATTTTACAGATGAGGAAACTGAGGCAAATGAGTGACTTGTCCAGGGTCACACAGCTAGCAAGTGTCTGAGGCCAGATTTGAACTCAGGACGATGAGTCTTCCTGAGTCCAGGTCCAGCGCTCTATCCACTGTGCCACCTAGCTGCCACCAGCCCCTACGTTGTTACCAAAGCCTAGCACACACAAGGTGTTCAATATTTGCCTGTTGATTGATTAATCAGGAAACCTGAGTTTTACTACAGCCTCTGCCAATGCTCTCCACGCACTTTGTGGTTACATCACTTAGTCTTAGTGTCTCTAAGGCCCATTTCCTCATCTATAAAATGAAGGGTTAGATGAAATGATTTCTAAGTTCTTTTCCATGATAACATTCCACACTTTTTATGTCAGGAGATAGGAAAGAAAGAGAATGTATCCTCGGAGCAGAGGACATTCCCTAGGAAATACAGAATGGGGGTTATGCGTACAAAAGACATCAATTTTAAGGGAAAACTTCTTAAGTGTCTGCTGCCCCAAAGCACACCGAGACGCCTTCCAGCAAAGGCTAGCTAACCACCTATCAGCCATGTTCTAGAGCAGTCTCAGACGTGGGCTGGACAGTGATCACTGACAGCCCTTACAAGTATGAAATTCTGCGCTTCTGTACTAGAAAGGAAACAAGCATTCACGAAGGGCCCATTCTGTGCCGGGCTCTGTGCTACGCACTCATTTGATGCTCACAACAACCCGTGGAGGTAAGTGGCTATCATTATCCCCATTTTAATGGAAGACACCAAGGCAGACAGAAGTTAAGTGATTTACACAGCCAATAACTGTCTAAGGATGGATTTGAACTCAAGTCTTCCTGACTCCAGACCCAAGGCTTTATCCACTGAGTCACCTCGCTGACTAACTACATATCAGACAGACACTGTCCTAAGAGCGTGGGATTCAAATAATTGTGAGACGATCCCTGAACTCAATGAGTAGAGATTTACAGTTCAGTAAATACAGGAAACATACACAATAAACAGACCCTGATTTGAAGGCAGAAACTAGCAAGGAGGAGAATCAAGAAAGGTACCTGCCAGAGAGTAGTAGGAGAGCTGAGGCAGGGTTCTACAGCTGGAAGTGAGGAGGGACAACATTCCAGGCCCGAAAGGAAGCCTACGCCAAGGCACTGGAAATGTTGTGTATGAGACAATGAGGAAGCCCACGTGGCTCGAGTCTGGAGAGCATGATGTGATCTGAGAAAAGACACTCGGGCAATCTTACAAGAACTCGGGAAATCTTACAAGACTTAAGAAAAGCAACAGTCTCAAACGTTTAAAAGAATGGAGTCTACAAATTATAGATTAGTGATCTTGACTGGAATTCCATTTCATAGGATCATGGATTTAGAATTGGAAGAGACCTTAACAGTAATTTTAATGCAAACTTCTCATTACAGATAGGAAAACAGAGGCACCAAGGTTAAGTGACTTACCCAAAGTCTCACAGGTAAGAAGCAGAGCCAGGATTCAAATTCTGATCCTGTAACTCCAAGGTTTCTGCTGCAACAAAATGCCCACCTAGCAAAATTCTGAAAAGTTTTGTTAAAAAGCTAGTTAGTAAACATCTAGAAAAGGAAGCAGTAACAACAAAGAATCAGTATCGCTTCATCAAGAAGAGGTCACCTCATGCTCTTTTTGGACAGGGTGACTGGCCTGGTACGGACATAGGCCAACTGATGGTACAGTTAAGGAAATTTAGAATTTGCATAATGGTCAGGCCAAAAAGCATATCATTAATGGTTAAATGTCAGCTTAGGAGGTAGCCAGTGGAGAGCATATGATGTCACATTGTTATCAATGATACGGATAAAACAATTGCTAACAAGCTGACATAGCGAACATACTGAATAACTGAGTCCTTATTCCAAAACAATTTAATAAGCCAAAGGGTTTATGCCAAGTCTACTCAGAAGAAATGTAAGAGAGATAAATGTCAACTCTCACACCTGTACAAGACAAGGGACACATGGGTAAACAGTCATTCCTCTGAAAAGGATGATGAGACTTTTATAGTCTGTGTGAGTCACAGTCTAATGTGGCAGCCAAAACAGCTACAATGAACTGGTGCTGCATTAAGAGGAGGCTAGCTCCTACGGAGAAGGAAGTGATGGTCCCAGTGTATTCTGTCCTAGACAGTGCTCAGCTCTGGGTGCTATATTTTATAAAGGACATTAATAAGCTGAAGGGCATGCAGAGCAGTGTGGCCAGGAAGGTGCTGAGCTTCAAATTCATACCATTTAATGACTCAGAGGAATTGTACGTTTAGCCAAGAGAAAAGAACAGCTATCTTCAAGCATTTGATAGGGAAAACGGGCTTCTTCTGCTTGGTTCCAGAAAAGCAAATCTGGAAGGCAGCTTCAAAGAGGCAAATTTATATCTGATGCTAAAAAGAACATCTTAATAATTAAGTTTCCTGCAAAGTGAAATGAGCTGTGATCGAAAGGGTTATCTACAACCAGGAAAACAGTTAATATCTCATCTGTAGGTTGGTCCCTTTACCTTATAGATGGATGTATCCACAGACATGGCTGGATTTGCTATTTTCCTTCTATTTATATCAGTATCAATTAATTATGGAAGATCTGTGAATGCTTGGCAACAAATGAAGGTGGTACAGAAATATTCAAAGTGTTGAATAATTTGTTTGAATTTCATAGTCTATCCTACAACAGCTGTGTTATTTGCATAGTGATGGTACAAAAACATCGATGGTGCAATTAACATCTACAAAAATGGAAAACTATGCCACTTTTCTTGCTAATTATCTTTTTTAGAAAATAGCTTCCATAAAAAATGTTAACATGTAATGAGTTTATTATTAAATTTAAGTGAATTACTTCTAAATGAATAATTTTAAAATGAATTTTAATGAATTAATTAAAATCTCATGTTTTAATTTCTAACATGGTAAGTTGGTAAGTTGGCTGTTGTCCTTTGTCCTTTGTCCTCAAAGAGGACAAAAATGCTATCACTAATCTAGTTTCAATTTACAGTGGATCTGACTAGAGCTGATCAGACCCATACAAACTCAGAATGTTCTACCACAGGTCAGGCACAAATAGTACGTTTCAACAGATGTAACACACATAAACAAAAGCTCTTTTAGGTTCTTAATAACTTTTAAGAGTACAAAGAGCTACTAACAACAAAAAATTTGAGGACCATCCAATTAAGACTAGACAAGAACATGGAGTGAGCTATGTCAGAATGTGCCGATGGTATAAAATGTAGAAGGCATTAATAAAAATTGGAAAAATGAAAACTAATCAATCAAAATGTGACACAAATTTATTGTGGGATATAATCAATAAGCTAGATAATACTAGAAGCAATTCATTTGGGGAAAAAAAGAGTTCATTAATTTTATGTAATTATGTGATTGTCCAGGGTATTCAAGAAAGATTTAAGAAGACATGACATTTAAGTTTGGCCTTATGTTTATGATTTTTGGTAATAAATTATACATATGTGTATGTATATACACACAGACAAAGTTCAGCCATTTTTATATGTATTTAAATATNAGGGTATTCAAGAAAGATTTAAGAAGACATGACATTTAAGTTTGGCCTTATGTTTATGATTGATTCCTTTTGGTAATAAATTATACATATGTGTATGTATATACACACACACACAAAGTTCAGCCATTTTTATATGTATTTAAATACAGAATGAGTAATAACTATTAGAAAAAGAGGGTAATGCTAATTACTGGAATGGAATGGAATGGGGACTAGAGCCTATTAATAAATGGGATTGCAAGTTTATTAATGAGGAATAAATTATTCAACATATTTCCTAGATTGGCATAATGCCCAGAAGAATAAAAATCAAATATAAAACAATGAGTCAAGTGATACACTGAGGTTGACCGAAGTACTCTATAAGTGTAGTCAGAACCCATAATGCTTTGCTACATGTGGGAGATCATGTTTCTTCCTTTCCAAGAAGTTACAGAGATAAAGAAGAGTGGGATAAATGGGGAGTGGGGGAGGAGGGGTTGTCCAATAGGAAATGACTGGTAATTTCTAAAAGAACAAGATCAGTCGGGTGGTTAGCAGACACACCTTAAAGCATTCAAATAGTGGGTGAAGGAGCCAGAGATCCTGCCTGAGGACAGACAAGGTTTTCAAGAAGCCTGGCAGAAAAAGAGAGAAAAGAGTGTCAGATGGTAGTTGGAAAGAGTAAATAACAGGTGAAAAGTGGTATGACGCCTATGGCTGTTTTGGGGGAGGCCATGTTTATAAGCAGCTGCAAATGATCTACTAGAGAGGAAAAAAATCATAATCCTGTTTATACAGCATTTTAAAACTTGGAAAATGCTTTACCACATTTATTGATTTATTTGATAAGCACAACTACGATATGAAATAAGTATTACAGGCATTTTTATCTGAGATGAGGAAACTGAAATTGAGAGCTTAAAGGAAATGGCTCCCACTAAATAAACTGATAGATGTTACGGAGAAGATTTGAATTAAGATCTCCCAGATGTCAGGTTCATATGACAGCAGGAAAAAGGGGGGAAGGGTGGGAACAAGAGAACAGGAGAATGAATTAGTGAGATCATCACTGAAAAAATGGGACAAAGTTAGCTGCTGTAATTCTGCACACTGTACAAGAGGAGGCTCGCAACATGAGAAGAGTTTGGAAGAGATGCTCTAGGAAATAAAATAATTATGTGATTTATTTGGTTTCCTTTAAGTTTGTAGTCTAACATTTTCAGAAAAGTGTATGACTGAAATCTTTCTTTTTTTCACTATATTCACAGAGACCATCTCCAGTATGAATTCTCTGATGGTAAGTAAGATGTGACCTTTGGCGGAAGGCCTTCCCACATTCATGACATTCATATGGCTTCTCTCCAGTATGAATTCGTTCATGTTTAGTGAGCTGGGTCTTTTGGCAAAAGGCCTTTCCACATGCACTGCATTCATAAGGTTTGTTTCCAGTATGAATTCTCTGGTGTCGAGTAAGTTGAGTTTTCCGGCTAAAGGCTTTCCCACATTCATTACATTCATAAGGTTTCTCTCCAGTATGAATTCGCTGATGTCCAACAAGTTGTATGCTCTGGGGGAAGGTCTTCCCACATTCTTTACATTCATATGGTTTCTCTCCAGTATGAATTCTGTGATGGTAAGTAAGGGAAGAGCTGTGTTTGAAGGCCTTCCCACACTCATTACATTCATAAGGTTTCTCTCCAGTATGAACTCTGTGATGGGAATTAAGGGATGAACTATGTCTAAATGTCTTCCCACAGTAATTACATTCATAAGGTTTTTCTCCTGTATGAATTCTCTGATGTCCAAGAAGCTGTATGCTCTGGGGAAAGGCCTTTCCACATTCATGACACTCATAAGGTTTTTCTCCAGTATGAGTTCTCTGATGTAGAGTAAGGTAAGTGCCTCGGATGAAGGACTTTCCACACTCATTACATTCATAAGGTTTTTCTCCAGTGTGAATTCTCTGATGTTCAGTAAGATATGCACTACGGCTGAAGGTCTTCCCACATTCACTGCATTCGTAAGGTTTCTCGCCAAAATGACGCCTCTCATGTCGAGCAAGATGTGCACTCTGAGAAAAAGTCCTCCCACATTCATGACATTCATAAGCTTTCTCTCCAACATTAATCTTCTGATGTTCAATAACTTGTGTGCTCTGGGAAAAGGACCCTTCACATTTATCAGACTTGCTCATTTTCTTTTGAGAATTACTTTTTTGATTTGAAGTAATGGATGAACTATGGCATAAGGTATTTCTACATTCATTACATTCACAAGATTTCTCCTCGATATGAATACTATGAT